AAAAAAGTAGAAATTAAAGTAGAAGTTAAAGTGTAGTATAATATAGTCTTTCTCTTAGCTATAAAAGTAAATAGATAGAAGTCTAAGTAGCTGCGTAGGTAAACTTTAGGTCTAGAGTAATATTAAATTATAGTACTATACTACTATAAAATATAAAAAAATATTTATATAAGTAAACTATAGTATAAAGAATAGTAGTCTAAAGAGAATTATAAAAAGCTTTATATATAAAGAATACTTCTCTTCTTTTTTTTTTTTTTTCTATTCTATAACTTTTTATTTTTATATCTCTAAGAACTTCTTATATCTTTATAAACTCTAAATACCTAGATACTACTCTCTAACTTAGTACTAACTAATATCTTTAAAGATACCTAACTCTAACTTTATTACTACTATAAAGGCTACTATTATAGCTACTACTAAGGTAGCTTTTAGGTATTTATAATATAAAAGTTAGTTAATAAAAAAAATAAAGCTTTTTTAAAAGTACTTTATTTTTTAAAAATACTATATAAAGCTTTCTATAATAGAAAGCTAGATCTTACTAAGAATAATACCTAAAAAGTGTAGATATATATTACTACTTCTTCTAAGCTTAATTAACTAATTAGTATTACTATATTATATTATCTATAAAGCTATTTAGCTTACTTTTTATATACTTTTTATAATTAAATATACTTTATATAGTACTCTAATACTTATAAAGTTAAGCGTATCTCTATAACTTATATTAATAACTCTACTAGTTTTAATAATATTTAACTCTATAGTATCTATATTAATAATTAAGTCTTTTTTATTATACTTCTAATCTCTAATAAAGTAGAGGCTTTTAATAACTCTAACTATACTAAACTATATAATAATATTACTTTAATATTTCTTTCTAGTACTATAGATACTTTTAGTAATTTACTATACTAGTCTAATATACTTCTACTCTTTAAATTATATAGAGAGTATATAAAAGTTAATAGTAATACTATATATAGCTTATATCTCTATTCTAACCTAAAGTACGTTTAAGTAATTATAGATAATAATAATCTTTATACTTAATATACCTAATAAAATATTAATTATAACTATTAAACTTAGTATAATTATAATTATCTTCTTTATAGGCGTAAAAAAAATATATAATAAAAAAAAAGAGAAAGTAGTATTAGATAGCTATACTTACTTAACTAATAGTTTTGCTCTTCTTTAGAGGTAATACTAAGTTATCTACTCTATCTAGTACTAATAGTAATAATTTAGTTAACTATAATAGTAATAATATTATTATCTCTACTATACTAGAATATACTATCTATAATAACTTTAATAACCTCTATAATAATAATAATATTATCTTTACTATACTTATACACTTACCTCTAAATAATAATAAAACTATAACTATAGCTATATATAAAAGTAAATATAGTAATAGTATTACTATTCTCTTTACTTTTTTCTCTACTACTCTAGTAACTATATCTAAAGATACTTCTTTTATTAATAAATACTTCTAGTATTTCTACTATAAAAAAAAGTATATTTAAAATAATAACTCTTCTAGTTATTAATAGTGTATCTAGAATAGAGATATTTACTCTTTTACTACTATAGACTACTAATAGAACTTTACTTTATACTATTATTTATATAATAAATAAACGCGTAGTATCTTCTATATATACTAGACTTCTAGAAGTTCTTATAATACTTATATCTCTAGTAATAACTATCTTAACTACGTACTTATATTTAAGTGTATTACTCTATCTATTTTAAAGAAGTAGTATTATATTACTTATTAGTTTCTAGTAAATTAGTATAGTAAGTAAGGTAGTCTTTCTATAGTATAATATAATAGCTAATACTTTTATAATATATATATTAATAAGTAATAGACTTATATTACTATTACTAATAAGAATAACACTCTCTATATAGAATATATATATAAATCTATAATATATAATCTTATATTACTATATCTTAACTACGTTAAATACTAGAATAGCTAGTCTACTAATATCTAGATAGCTTCTTAACTTTATACTTATTTTAGTAATAATAATACTATCTAGATAGGTATATATCTAGATAGAGCTTTAGATTACTTACTACTCTAAGTTTATTTTAGCTATATATAGAGTATATAAAACTATATAAGCTTATAAGATAGGTAGTCTCTATACTACTAGTGTCTCTTAATTAATACTACTATATATAATAGGTTTATATATTATATAAAAATAAACTCTACTATTTATATTATAAAAGATAAGTATATATACTCTCTTTCTAGAGATTACTTTATTAAGTGTACTAGTGTAGAAATATAAGCACAACGCGGTTAAGTAATATAGTATATAATTGTAATGTAGGTGTATTTTCTAAATACCTTATTTTATAGTAGGTAGTAGTATATATTCTTTTAAAGGTTCTAGTAATTAAAACTAAGCTATAGAGTTCGACTCTTTCTAGAGATAAAGATAACTATAGTATTATTTTTAACTTTATTTATAAGAGCTAGTATATCTATAGCACTATCTAGCTTTAAGCTTCTAATTAGAATAAGTTTAATAAAAGTCTACTTAATAATAACCTATATAGGCTTAATAGTATTTTTATAGCTACTTTTAACTTATTCTAGTACTTTTATAATAGCTTTATTACTTAGTAGTTAGATAAAGAACTTTTCTTCTTTAACTTCTAGTATAATAACCTACTACTTAATAATAATCTACTTACTTTATATATATCTAGTATATAGTATAATAATTTACTACTTAATAATAACTTATATAACTTCTACGCTTTAAGTACTATAACTATTCTCTATAAGCTATAGACTTATAAGAAGGCTATAAATACACTCTAAGCTACTAGTTAGTATAATACTACTTAGGCTAAGCTTAACTCTTTTCTTACTAAGAGAGTATATAAAGTTATTCTACTTCTCTCTAAAACTAAGTCTATTTCTTCTAAGTTTATTTATAAAGCTAAACTTACTTTAACTAGTAAAATTATAAAGCTTAAAACTTATATTATTACTTAAATTTTTTAGTAGTAACTAAGTATTAATTATATAAAAAAGTTCTTATCTACTATAAAATCTTTATTTATACGCACACTTCTAGTAATCTATAGTTTTCTTTAGTAGACTACCTTCTAAGTAGATATATATATTATATTTCTTAATACTAAGCTTAAGAAGTAGGTTTACTATATACTACTACTACCTATTATCTTACTAAAAGAATATATCTAGCTTTTTTAGAAATCTCTTTATAGATTAGTATAGTTCTCTTAAGTTTAGTATTAACTTCTTATAAGTAAACTTAAAGATATAAGATTTTATACTTTACTTTATAACTTATATATTTATATTTATACTTAAAATACTATTATTATCTTTATTTATATTAATAATATTTAGATTTATACACTATATAATAATACTATTACCTAGTTTAAGACTTAGCTCTCTAAATTCTTTATTATTATATTTAAAGACTTAGATACTTTATATCTTAGTATATATATTAAGTATACTAGCTAAAGTAGTATTAAGATTTATTAGGCTAAATATATATATTATATACTTAATTAGTATAGCTTTTAAAACCTTTCTATTACTACTAACTTATATAATTATAAAGTAAAGCTTATATATAATAATAATACTAAGTCTATATCTACTTTTAAAAAGTAATACTTCTAGATATTTAGCTCTTTTAACTATATACTTATTATAATATAAATTAATCTTACTTATACTACTTCTCTATATAAGCGCTTTAATATAAACTCTTTATAGATATATATTAATAGTATTATATAAGTATACTTATATATTAGTAGTATATAAAACTTAAGTATTATATACTTTTTATAGTAAAAGTCTTACCTTATTAGCTATATTAATATAAACTAGGCTAGTTATATAGACTTATAGCGTTCTACTACTAGATATATTTTTACTCTAGCTAATAGCTCTATTTTCTAGTTATCTACTATATAGAAAGTTATTATATAGTCTATATATAAAATAGAATATATAGTACTAAAAGAAGCTATTAAAGAAGCTTTCTAGCTTTAAGTATTTATTAATAACTTTAGTATTAGCTTTTACTTTAGTACTATTTTAATTTATATAAATAATTAGTTTACTATAAAGCTATTTAAGAATCTAGAGTTTTATTAATATACTAAATATATTAATATCTATTACTATTTTCTTTACTAATATATTTAGAATAGAACTATATTTATAGAATAGATTAGTAGTAAGAATAACTTTATAGATATACTTACTAAGCTACTAGATTCTACTAAGTTTACTACTATATATAAGATTCTTAGTTTTATTTACTAAGACTTTCTATATAGTATAGAGTAAAGCTCTCTATATCTTACTATAAGTATAGTTAATATTATATCTTAGAACTATATAAGTAATAATAATAAAGCTCTTACTCTATAAACTATTTTTCTCTAAAATACTTATAAAAATACTAACTATATAAAAGCTTTTATATTAAAGTAGCTTTTTTAAAAGTTTAGTATTACTTTAGAATATAAAGAAGCCTAGTATAAGTATATTAGTACTTAGTATATAAATTAAATATATATAGAAAAGATTAAAAATCTAAATAAAAAGAAATTTATTACTCTATATAGTAGTATCTAGACTACGCTTTACTTTAAGCGCACTACCTTATATAATAATAATAACTCTATCTAGTAGCTTTACTATAGTAAGTAACTTAAAAACGCCTATAATTCTAATATAAACTACTTCTATTATAGTACTATACTTTAACTTACTTTTATAGTTTTTTATTTTCTTTTTTTTTATTTACTTTATAATAAGTTTTAGAAAGGCTATTAGTTAAAATTTTATTACGTAATTTACTTACTAGCGTTGCTCTAGTAGTATATATATAGGGCTTTCTCCCTCTTACATAGAATAATTATTATATCTTTCTCTTCTTATTCTACATTATGCTAGCGTCTACAAAGGGAACGCCTGTATTGCCTTCATACCATTTCTCCCAGCCTGCTTGGTCGTCTTCCCACTCTACTGCGTCGAATTTGAGATTCTGTGGGAGGTTCATGGAGGTGTGTGGTGTAGTCATGGTTGTCTGTCTGTAGAGTTCTCTGAAAACAATCTCTCGGACCCAACCGTAGACGCCATTGGATGCCTTGGCTTCGGTAAAATCGGTACTGCCGCGATTGTAATCTACAACTTTCTGCAGTGCTTCGCGTACGGAGAACATGCCCGCACTAAAGTAGGCAGACATGCGTGACGTGCTATTTGCGGCAGAATTTGAGCGTGTAGCGGCGTAGTGGTCAATTTGCTTTAGGAACGCATCCATTCGTTGTGCTGCTGCATCGTGACCGACAGGCCACAGCTTCCGTATCCTCTTCTTGTCTTCTTCCGACTCGAATTGCTTGTCTTTTGCAGGCTGGGGCACGGCTGTATCGAAGAGACTTTTTAGCTCCTTCTTCGCAGAGGGAGCATTTGCGGTAGGTGAAGGGTTAGTGTCAAGCAATTCCGGCTCGTCTTTCAGCCTCTCGAGCCACGCTTTGAAGAAGGGTGTAAAGACTTTCATGGGTGTCCCAGCGCCTGTAAGCATTGTACCAGGCTCGACAACGGTCTGGTCATGGTACAATGAGACTTGAATACCATCCCCAGCTGTTTGGCAGAGTTTCAAATCCCTCCGCATCTCATCAATCTCGTACTCCAAGTTGCCAAACACGTGTGAAATCTCCCACTTTTTCATCCAATCCACTGCTGTCTGTACGATCTTCTTCCTATCCTCGCACTCTAGGAAGACTAGCGGTATGTTCAATTCCTTGAGCTCTTTCTGCATGATGCGCAATCCCTCGCACATGAAGTCGACCCTTGCAGAGCTAGTCCCATGCCACGACTCGTCTGCAGCGCAATTGACGTAAAAACACACGAGAGGCTTCCTCGCACTTTGGGCAAGCTCGGAAGCATGATGCAGCGCGGTGTTATCTTGAATGCGGAGATCTTTTGGACGAAACCAATGCGCTACCTTTGTCACAACCTTGATTTCCTCTTGTGCACCGAGGGCTTCTTGAACTTGATCGTAGGGAAGATTATTATCTACTCGTTTCGCGCGTTTGAGAGTCGTATGCCCGAGTTCAGAGCGTTCGTATGATGTTCTTTTGGACATGTTCGTATGCGCCTGGGATTTGTTCGGCTGTGCGGGCTTTTTTGGCGGTGCTCTACTTTGGAAAAGAGTCGCGTGTTGAAACGCGCGGATCGGTAGTCGTGCTTTGACACTAACACATCTAAATTGAGCAGCTGCCGGCCTAGGTAGAGTTTGCAATAAGAAGACGCGTTCGAAGGAAGGCATTGAACATGCGCTATGCGCTTAGGCGTACCTTTGTACCTGATCATCGATAAACCTTAGACTAAGGGTTCAGAGTGGTGACGTCGGCGGACCACCCAACCACACCAACTAGAGCCGATCAAGACGTTACCCTGATGGACACCTGGCGTCGAACACCAATCGAAGGCATGCCTGTCGGCGTTTCAGACACAAGATCTGGAGAGATCCTTGGTTCCCGCTGCATTTCGCGATCTGTCGCCGCTTCCTGGGATTTTGGTGCTTTGCATAGGGCTGCATTCGATTCAGGGTTCCAGGCGACGACGGTGGATGTGAGCACGCGACAAACTACGCTGCTAGTGCGAGGTGTTAATGCGACCGACATAATTCCGCTCTAACGCGCAGACAAGGAGTTGCATAATTTCCATGTTGGAGTTTTGTTGGTCTGACAGATTGACCGCAGCCGAACCATGCCAGCCGGGCACGGTGCCTAGTTGCTGACACGTGATGCGAGTCTTTCGGACTGCGATCAAGCTCTCTTCCTTGAGCTCGTCGGCACCATATCCGTCGACGAGCTAGGCTAGCAAAGCTTTGTCGTGTTGTGTCGCTGGCCCTCACTACGATGGCGAATGGAATTGCCCCGTCCGGAGCACACCGTAGGCATCGAAATCCCAGCCGCTCGCAATACCCCATCGCCAAGGGAAAATCTACGGGGATACCAATTTTGGTTTCCACGAGAGAACCATTGAATAGCGAATCAGATCATAGCTGTGCGGAACGTGACGCCAAGATGTACCAAGCCACGCCAAGTCCTCATCCTCCAGCCTTCCAATAACTGGCAGGAACGTGCATGTCTTTCCCAATGAGGCAGCTCGTTAAGATTCTCGATGATGACAGTGGCTCGCGGCGCGGACCAGGCCAGCGGAATGGAGACTGGGCCCAGGTAGCCGGAGTCTTCCTCTCGAGCAGTAAGAGCGCTGTGTTATCGCACGAGGGACGGGAAAAGGCACTTAATGCACCTTGTACTGAGAGGAAGGCATGCCTCGGGTATGAAATGTGGACGCTAGTAGCTTGATACGCGGGACATAGTCTGATTCGTCTTGATGCATCTATGCAGGTCCGGGAAGCTCTGTGAGCTTATAAAGGTTGGAGCAACAGCTTCCCAGAATGTCGGTTCATCGCACTTTTGAGAGTCTTGCCCACCTACTGATCTCTCAATCGCGTTCGTTATGAAGTGTACATGCTCAGCTGTCGTGGCTGCAGCCCTTTTGGTCGGGTCTGTCTCCGCGCAGACATTCCGCCGTCTGGGAGCTTGCCCAACGCTCGGTTGCATGTTCCCTCCTGACCAGTAAGCATGCAGATTGAACGAGCTCAGAGAGCTCAATTGCTGATACACAACTCAGGGCCGACTTTCTTGCGGGCCAGTACTTCGACATCCGTCTAGAAGTTCACCAGCCAAGGAACGGATCCGAGTTCATCGGTCTACCTCTGGATGAGCAGTTTACCTTCACTCTTGGAAAGAAGGGCGAGGAAGCGAAGCTAGTAACAGAGTTTTTCAACCTCGAAGAACCCAATTTGGAGAAGTGGAACTTCACATGGTACGAAGACCTCTTCGCACGCGACGCGGCAATGAAAACCCTCGTCAACGTTGCCTCTAAAGCCTACCGCCGCATCGCTCTTTACGAACCTGGCGAGTACACTGCTACCCTCAACTATAACAATGGAAGCAAGACGGAAGCTACTTGGCTCGTTCGCGACCTGGCTGAGGAGCGCAAGGCCAAGAACATTATTCTCTTCATCGGTGACGGAATGACCACAAACATGATCACAGCTGCTCGTTTGATCGGCCATAAGCAGGTCAACGGCAAATACCAATCTCTCATGGCCATGGACAAATTCCCTGTCGTTGGCCACCAGATGACCCACTCGATCGACAGCTTCATCACCGACTCCGCTAACTCTGCTGCTGCGCTCAACACTGGTCACAAGTCAACAGTCAACTGTTTGAACGTTTATGCGGTACGTGTCTTCCATCTCGTTGCGCAATTGTATTTATCATCATTTTACTAACAAATAGTATAGGACAGTAGCAAGGATCCTTTTGACGACCCGAAGGTTGAGAGCATTGCTGAGATCTTTCATCGTCTTACCGGAGGTCACGTAGGAATAGTATCGACAGCATACATTGCGGATGCTACCCCCGCTGCCTTGGTATCGCACACCCGTCTCCGTAGCGAGTATGGAGCTATCGTCGATACCTACCTCAATGGTGTCGGCCAGAACTGGACGAAAGTTCCTCTAGATGTCATTTTCGGTGGTGGCGCCGAGCAGTTCTACCCGTCTGAACTTGGAGGAGTCACGTATCAGGACAAGAACTACTATGATGAGTTTGCCGCGCAGGACTATCAGATCATCCAGAACCGCACTGCTCTGCTCTCTGCCAGCAATGAGGAAAAGGCTCTCGGTATCTTCACCACCTCCAATATGGCCAAGTGGCTCGACCGCAATGTCTACCGTGACAACCTCAACCAATCGCTTTCCCCTACTGGAGATGAGACACCCGCTCTTGATCAGCCGGGTCTCAAAGAGATGACCCTCAAGGCCATTGACATCCTCGAAACCCGCTCAGGTGACAAAGGATGGTTCCTTATGTCAGAAGCCGCCAGCATTGACAAGATGATGCATGTTCTCGACTATGATCGCGCACTCGGTGAACTTCTCGAACTCGACGACACGGTGAAGGCCACTATTGACCACCTCAACTCCACCAACTGCCTCAAGGAGACTCTGATCCTTGTCACTGCCGACCACGGCCATGGCTTCGATGTCATGGGCTCCGTTGACACCCACTATCTAGCTGCTCAAAACGTCGACCGCAAGAAACGCAAGTAATACCCATGTACGAACTGTTGCGAGACATTAACTGACTTCGTACAGGCAATGCTGTGGGGACGTACGAGCAATCTGGCGAATCCCAATACATCAACACCGGCAATCTGACGTACACAGATTCTAACTTCCCGTCGACTTGGGAGCCCAGATTCAGCTTGTTTCAGGGGTTAATGGCAGATCCTGATCGTCGGGAGAATTGGTCCGTCCGCAAGAGCGGTCCCCGCGAGCCCGCCGTCGAAATCGAAGAGGATAGCGACGACAACTACGCTAACCCTGAGGATGGCGAGGACGGTATCTTGCTCAATGGTACGCTGCCGGTCGAGAACGACCAAGGTGTGCATTCGTTGACGGATGTGCCTGTCTATGCCATGGGCCCATGCCAGGAGCTCTTCCAGGGGACATACAACAGCATTGATATCTTCTACAACATGGCGACTTGCTTTGGCCTAGGAAGAGGCAAGCCTAGTACTGAAGAGTAGAGCGTCTTTTTAGATGGGGTGTCGAAGAGAGAAGAGCTGTGCAGGGTTCATAACCACGTGGACGATGATGATGTTGTGGTAGTACTAAAATTACGTCTGCTCTAGGGTAGTTGTAATGTATTCTTGGTGATGATATTACTTCGTGCAACATTTGAGTTGTCCTTGGTTCGAGCTTAAAGTGTGTTCACACATCTTCATCGCAGGAAAAAGCTGCCATGGAAAGTGATGTGAAAAAGTCTTTAGTTGCTTTTCGCGATTGCCATAGTTATCAGAATTTGATCATTCATTAGTTTTTACGTGTTGGGGTGGAACATGAACAGACGGGTGCTGCATGAAAGCGTCACAGTGTTGTTATGTAACCAATATCCTGAGAAGGTCTTTGGTTTTTGTTGTCACTAGGAAAGCCACTGTGGAGCCAAATGCTATCACAGTTCATGGCAACAGCACCCTAACAACACAGTTCCTGCGAATGTCACGGCCAACCAAGCAGATTGCCTCGCGCCTACTAAGGTTTCCACGGGTATCGGTAGCGTCCATCAGTTCCGTAACGAACGTAAGGCTCGACTTCACTTGGACGAAATCATTAGCACCACTTGATAAGAATCCATCCTCACACCGAGAGCAGTGTATTCTCACAACTCCCGCCTATTCTTGGCCAGTTCAACTTGTTGGCGTAGGTTCGGCGCCGTGGTGCTAGCCTCGCCGCTTTGAACGCCCTGCTCCATATCGGCAGCCCACAACGCAGCGCCAACGGTGTTTGTGAAGGAAAAGAAGATTCCGGCAATCGGGACGAGTTCGAGGAGGACAGCTGGGATGCCGAAACTATGCAAGGTTAGTGGTCTGAATATGACTACACGTAGACGGACCGACCTAGCATATGCGGCCTTGCGCTCGTCAATGAAGCGCTCCTTCTCCTGCTTCTTCATCTGCTTGAGTTGGAAGTAGCGGGCATGTGCGGTGGGACCAAACTTGCGTCCTTGGAGGATGACGAATAGTACGGTGCCCACGACTGGGATGAAGTTGAGCGGAAGGTACATGAAGTATCGGATGATGGCGCTGGGGGCGAATTTTGCGAAAGGCTTCGAGACGAGCTTGCCCAGTTTCGCAACAGGGTCAGTTCCCGACTTTACCTGGCGCTCTTTGGAAACTAATGTGGTCTGGTTGCGGCTGACCAAGGTTGAATCAAAGGTATCAATAAGCGCTTCGTCAATGAGGAAGTTCTTGCTGAGAACCGAGAAGATAGTGGACGACTCGCTGAGTACGAGCAGAACCGTGGTGAAGACTGCGAGTGGTCCGTTGAAAAGGGTGAGAAGTGCGACTTGGGGAATGTATGTGACGGCAAACATGAGCACGGTGACACCAAGACCGAGCGAGACAGTAGGGACCAGTTTCGCAGCGAGAGGCTTCCATAGAGCACGGTGTGTGAAGAAGTACGCAATGCCCTTGGGTCATGTCAGTGTTGTGCTTTGAATGCAATCCCCTAGTGTGGTCGAGAGGGCCGAAAAGCACTCCCAGACCGGCCTCTCTAGGCAAACGTCGATGCAATGTAGGTAGCAAGGATTCAGACGCGTACCTTGAAAGGGTAGAGATATGCGGCCGAGCGGACAGCTTCTGAGGCAAGCTGTCTAGCTTGGTTGAAGTCTTCCTTGGCGACTTCCTTGACCTTGTCGGGTACTCTCACTCTGGACTCTGACATGGTTGCAACGGATAGATCGGAAAGGTTAAGAAGATTAGGAAGTAGCACTTGAGGGAAAGGCGTCTGAGTCGTGATGGAAGACAAGTGGTGTTCCCTTGCCCAGGTGTTGGTGGGGTGAAGCTATGGAATGTGGAAAACTACGTCATAATCGCGCACTTGGCCCAAGCTCCAATCCTAACAACGCGGACTCTGTCCCTGCGCCAACTACGTCGTTTGAGCAGATAACTTGTTACCGCAGGAGAGAAGAAACCCGAGAGATGGTACATGTTGATTGTATAAAATGCCAATAAGGCAAGCTGGGACGGTAGCGGATCAGTGCAAGGCACGTCATACAGTGCTGGTTTTGCGCATTTGCTTTGAGGTGCAGGGAATCCTGCGTAATTGCAATGTCAGGGCAATTTGCTGTCCCGCTGATGCTGCAATAGTTCAGAATAGTCCACCTATGGGCGATGGCTCAGGAATGCATTTCCAAGGCACAAGTTCAGGAGTGAGTCCATGCCGGATTCGCACGCTTCTAGGCCCTTGACAAAGTCCCCACCGTGGCCATTGTGCCAGGTAAATGTGGCGGTGTTATCAAGATTTTACAGAAGATCTGCTACAAACACGCGTCAAGGACCAAAAATCCGATGCAAGACAGGGTAAATCAGGAATTGAAGACGTGGCTAAGCTTTCCTCTTCCCCACTTTCCATGCACCGGATCGCAAAATGACGCAGCGCCAGCCGCGTGCTAGCCCCCACCACAACCGAACCGGACATTGGCTAGCTGCATCCGTCGCGAAGCCCCTCATCGAGGGTCCAGCGCTGGAGTGGCTGATGTAATTAGCCAAATCTTGTGGCAGCGGCAGACAGGAGAGAACGCCACGGCAGGTATAAGCTGAGGGATTAGGGAAAGAATACCGACCCATGGCCGGTTGGGGCTTGCAATGGCCACGTTTGAAAACAACAGGCACATCGTGCATGACGTCCGACACGAGTTGAGCCAGGTATTCACCAGTGGCTGTGCTAGGGGATAGAGCCAAACGCCTCGTATACTCGAAAAAGCTGCGCGGATGTGCAGCCTACGTTGGGATAAAATCAGCAATTTAGAAAGTGTAGCGTCAATGTAGGCTTCAGCGTGGTCAGCACTTCCTTCGATCAAGGTGCCAAGACCAAAGTAGGAAACAGGGATGTGAGCAGTGACTGCCCAGGTGCCGTTTGTACGACGTGTGCTGATGCAAAGGCATGACGTAGGACCATGGGTCTCTCTGACTTTGGCCCTCGCCTGTAGTGTATATATTGGACCACCAGCGCTTACTTTTGGTGACCATCTACGCAACGACGACCACCACACCCACGCAACACTCTAATCAACTTCATTCAAGCCCAATCAGCTATCTATACCACCTCTTATTCAAACTTCACACCGCGATCATGTCAGGAGTGATGGACAAAGTTAAGGCCAAGGTCGACCAGGTGATGCACAAGGACAAGACCCATGGTAAGCACTTCCTGCAGACTGCCGAGGGCCTGAAGACCACCGTCAGCTACTCACACTTCTCTAGATGATCCCACCGGTCCTCACAGCTCTCATACTGCCAACACTGCCGATCCTACTGTACCTAATACTTCCAATGCTACCACTGGCACTGGGGGCTTCTCCGGTACCCACCATGGCTCTGGTGTAAGCACTGGCCTCGGTACTTCTGGTAGCCATGGCGAGCGCAACCCCGAGTACACATCTCCTACCCATGGTTCTACGGGTCTTGGGTCATCAGCCACTCATGGGAGCACTAGTCTCGGGTCCTCAACTACCCATGGCTCTACCTCTCACAATGACCCTACCGGTCCTCACGGCTCCCACACGATGAACAAGGCTGATCCCCGGGTCGACTCCGACCGTCTTGGAAACGCCGGTAACACTGCTGGCGCAGGCGGTTATGGTGCTGGACAGTATACTGAGTCCCACGGCACCCATGGTACTACTGGCAGCGGCCTCACCGGCACAGGGCTCGGCTCTTCGACTACTGGAGCTTACAGCTCAGGTAACAGCAGTGGACTGACTGGTGGTCACGGCACTGCCGATTTCAACGACCCAACTGGTCCCCACAGCTCACGCATGGCCAACCAGGCTGACCCCCGCGTCGGTGGTGTTGGTAGCACTGGAGCTGGCGCATACAACACTACTGGAACCGGTCTCACCGGCCATAGCACTACCGGTGGTCTTGGACACTCCCACAACGACCCTACCGGCCCCCACGGCTCCCACATGGCCAACTCTGCCGACCCGCGTGTTGGGGGTGTAGGTAGCACTGGCGGTCTTGGCCACTCTCACAATGACCCCACTGGTCCTCACAGCTCTCACATGGCCAACTCGGCCGACCCGCGTGTCGGAGGTGTAGGCAGTACAGGCACAGGAGCCTACGGCAGCAACGCTGGCGGCATCGGCTCAGGCAACATGGGCCAAGGAGGATACACCACAGGTGAGCACGTCAAGACCGTCCCAGGGGAGGTCGAGGGAACAGGCCGTGACAACCTCTCTCACCGCAATAACGAGAGTGGCGATCTTCCCAAGGCCCTCACCGAGCCTGTTTCCCACGCTGAGCCTCACTCTTCTCTGCAACATGACCAACACGTTTCAGGTGGCGCTCACGGCACTCATGGTACCACTGATGTTCACGGCAAGCCATCCATGATGGACAAGCTGAGTAAGTCTTCCCCATGCGGTTGAAAGTTGGATTGACGCTGACAAGACACTCTAGACCCCAAGAAGGACGCTGACCACGACGGCAAGACTGGCATCATGGACTAGATTTGTCGTCGTCTTTTTGCCATCTCACTCGTAGTGTGTTGCGAGAGCAAGTCACATGGTGGTTTTGATGGTGTGATTTGCATGAATACCCCCAAGTAGCGTAGTAGCTCAATGAATAGTAATCTCCCTGTCAATTTGGTTCTGTCGCAGTGCTCGCTCTTGATGAGCAATGTTATACTTGTCTGTTATATGCATCCATGATGCTGTTAACATAGATCTGTGATTTCGCATGTACTCGCACATGGGGTATATCCTCGTCAGTGCACTCAGATCAAGTGTATATACTCCGTGCAATGGTGTCGAAATTATAAGAAGTTTGATTAGGGGGTATCATTACTTTTTGCACAAACTTGCCAATGCATACGGCGACCACTCGCTCGCCGTATGACGGGAGTGAATTCAAATATTCAGAGGTTTCGAGATGTGTCGCACAGCCCAATGGACTCTGTGAAAACCCATGGCCATGAAATCACTTGGCTTTTCCCTTGCCCCCCTTCCTGTTTCCTTTACCACCAATCCCTTTCTTCTTGTTTTGGTTCAACGAGCCATCAAGAAGCGCGCTAAAAGTCTCACTCCGCGTCTTGGGCGCGCGATCTGGGGTCGGCACTACAGGCTCGTCTTCCTGTGAGTTTTGCGTCGAAAGCCTCTTGTTCCTCGTCCTCGTTACGCGCTCCTCTGCTCTTGAGGGTGTTGCAAGGCTGACTGTGTCCAAGTCCTGCCTGGTCTTTGTTGTCTTGTTGTCTCTCTTTGCGGGGCGACGGCGCTTTTTGGGCTGCGGTGTGGCGGTATCTGGCGCGGGTTCTTGTTGCGATTCGGCAGCTGCGTCGACGCGAGCTTTCTTGGGAGCTGGCTCTGCTTGGTCGGAGCCTTGCAGGACGTGGCTGTCCGAATAGTCCTCCTGAGCATTGAGCTCGTCGACAGCCCTCTTGCTGGACGTGGCGTCAGTAGACTCGAGGGCGTTGCCGTCGGAGTCGAATTTCTTGTTGATGTTTTGAGCCTTGAGGTGGGCGCGGGCCTTCTCCTTGGCCATGCGCTCCTGCCGCTCCAAGTCGTACCTGTCGTTGCCAGCCAGGCCGTGCTTGATGAAGCGTTGGGCGGCGCCAAGGTCTAGTCGCGCTCTGCCCTCGGCGCTGCCCATGACGCCGCGGTCCTTGATGTGCTTGATCTTGCTGTTGTACTGCTTGAGACGGGCAATTTCCTTGAAGACATGGTGTTGCGTGGCATTGACGCCCGACGCCTTGAGCACGGAGAAGAGAATAGCTTCGATGGCGTATGCGGACATGCAGTAGAACTCTGCCTTGTCGAGGAGCGGGAGAGAGGACGCGGTCGTGTGAAGAGGCGCGGCCAGCAGAGGGTCGAGCGCGGCGGTGAGCTCATCGATGTTGACTTCGAGGTCCTCGACGAGGTCGGGGAGGTCGGTCTGCGGGTCCATGGTGGTGATGGAGGTCAAGCGGCGGTCGCATGCGCACGCCAAAGAAAAGCAGCGGGCCGAGCGCTCCGACGTGCAAGCGTCGGGTCGCTCACAGCAGACAGCCTCACTCACTCACTCGCCTCGGCCCCGAAGCCCATGGGAATCCCAAGTCGTTCAAGCTGTCGTTCTCCTCCGTTTCACCCTTTCTCCCCAGGCTCCGGCCTCGGATACCACACGCAGCGTCACGATGCGCCGCGGCTTCGGCTCAGACGAGAGCCTTCCTCCACACGGCCGGCTTCTATCGCAGACAGCCTGTACTCGACCGACGCATTCACATCATCGGTGTCGGCAACGTGGGCAAATTCATCGCCCACGCCCTGCGCGGCATACCCAACCCTCCTCCAGTAACGCTGGTCTTCGGGGGCTGGCAAAAGTTGAACGAATGGAACGACTCGCAACGCCGCCTGGCCCTCGTCACCGACGGCCGTGTCGACACCAGAGACGGCTACGATGCCGAGCTAGCCATCCCCCGTCTTCGCTACCATGGCCACGAGGTCGGCCTGAATCCCTCCTCGCTAGACACGACCCAAGGCCCTCAGATGCTGCCTGGCGAGTCTGCTGAGCCCATCAGCTCGCTCATCGTCTGCTCCAAAGCCCCCCATGTCCTGCAGGCCATCTCCGCCGTAAAGCACCGGCTGCACAACCACTCGGTCGTCTGCTTCCTGCACAACGGCATGGGCGTCATCGACCAAGTCAACGCCGCCGTCTTCCCGGACCCCGACCACCGGCCACACTATATGCTCGGCATCAACTCTCATGGCATGCACGCCTCGCCACACAGTCGCTTCACTACTGTCCACGCTGGTTTCGGCACCCTCTCGCTGGGCATCCTACCCCACCAACGAGACGGCCATGCCAACGAGCCCTACACCCCCGACTTAAGATTCTCCGCATCAAGACATGGCAAGCCCGTCTACCCGCACCCTCCCGACAAACTCAATCCAGAGTACCCACCCCCAAGGAGCGCCAAATTCCCCTTCACGCCTAACCAACGCTATCTACTTCGCACCCTCCTCCGCACTCCAGTACTCAGCGCAGCCTCCTTCTCGCCCCCCGATCTCTTGCAAATCCAACTCGACAAGTTAGCCGTCAATTGCATCATAAACCCCCTAACCGCCCTCCTCGACGCGCGCAACGGCGCCATTCTGAACAACTACGCCTTGACCCGCACAATGCGCCTCCTCCTATCCGAGATAAGCCTCGTCATTCGCTCCCTCCCCGAACTCCAATACATTCCCAACGTGTCCCAGCGCTTCGACCCAGGCCGCCTTGAGACCGTGGTTGTGGCCGTTGCACACCGCACCAGCGACAACGTGAGCAGTATGCTAGCCGATACGCGTCAGGGTGCGCACACCGAGATTGACTATCTCAACGGCTGGATTGTGAGGCGAGGCGAGGAATTGGGTATTCGATGTGCCATGAACTATATGGTTATGCAGTTGATCAAGGGCAAGAGCATGGTGGTGCAGCATGACATGGAAGAAGAGCTTCCCCTGGTAGGGAGTAAGAAAGGGGGGAGGGCGGAGGCGGACTTGGTGATTAAGAGGGATGGCGCGGAAGCCCACAAGAAAGGCACACCGTGAGACGGCATTCGTCTTTGACGCTACGGCCAAACCTTTTGCACAGTTCGACTACACAGCGCTCCACGGGCTATCAGAATCAATACTAGATACAATCCGCAGAGCAGAATGCGCCATCAGTCGCCATGTCCATGTCCCTAGAGCGTAGATCTGCTTATATCCCGGCTTCTGATGATGCACATGTCCACCCAAGAGCCGGTAGGCATAACAGTAGAGCAACCGAAAGAATAGTAGCGTCCTTGTAATCCTCTCGATACCAAAGAAGTAAACGACAGATTGCGATTAGTAGAACTGCAGGCGATGGACATGGTCAATGTGTATATTTCTTCTCCTACTCTTCATCGTTTCTCTTTCTTGTCCTATCTTCCAAGAGCTAGTATTAGATAAAGCTATAGTACATTATGTGTAAAGACACACATCCAACATGTTTAGTCAACCAGACCAATAATACTCCTGCCCACCGCAAACCCTTCCCCCAAAGCTTCTTAACCAGAACAAAAGACTACCAGAACAACTCCCGGTATCCATCAAACTCAAGTTCCCACCATCCCGAGACGAGAACTAGCAGCGAAGATACCTCTCTTGCTATGTGTATATCCGACAGTAACGGGTCCGTAAACCTACCCCTCTAACAAGCCACTGAAGATGCTCAACAAGTAAAGAAAAACAACCAAAGCATTCGCCTCTTACTCGCCGTATACAAACGTCAACTAGGATAGTGTAACATGATTGAATAAAAGAGTAATGGTCGTGTAAAACTCCAAGCACAAGACCGGCAAACAGCGAGTTACCCAACAAGAATCAGCCAGTTACTGCATCATGTATGGCTCAGTCGAAAGCACCAGGCATACTCGTACCGGGCATCCTCAAACTAAGTCTACTGCCACTGGCATCCTTCTCTCTGCTCGGCAAAGCAGGTGCAGGGTTCGAAGAGGAGCGTTGACGCTGTAGGCGTGGATCCTCCAGCTTCGTCATTTCCTGTTCCTGTTCAGAGACCGCTGTTGCTTTCCTGGTATCGAGAGACTTGTTCACTTCGTCTTGGAGTTGAGCTTCAGCTTGCTGTTCAATGTCCTTTTCCTCTTCCACTGTCAATGAGGGTATTGACGGGGCTGCAGTGACAGACTCATTCTGACTACCGTGGTGAGCTTCGGCTGACGATGTTTCGGCTTCCGGATTGGCGATTGTCTTGGACTCTGAGGTCAAAGCGTCGTTGTGCTTCAAAAGGACCGTCTTGCCAATGGAAATTCTCTTGACCTTATCACCGCTTTTGCTCCGAAAAGGGTCTTCATCGCTCTTCCTTGGCTCATTCGCCGTCGACGCAGCAGAACCACCTGCTGTGATGTCTCGAGGCTCAAACGACATGATGCTCTCTTCACTCATCCTCTCCTCAATCTTCACATCGCTATTCGTGAATGTGGGACTGCGTGGGCCATCTCGCAAAGGAACGAAGGAAGGAACCACACCGCCACCAACGCGAGTCCAGAACATGCGTTCGCGAAGTCGCACACTCTCTTCCCAGGTCGACTTCTTTTCTTCATCCGTCTCTGCGCGCCAGTGCCCCGCTGCTACCATGCGTAAGAAACCAATGTAGTCGCACGTTGCCCGAACGCGACCCAGACACCAGTCACACAAGGGGTAGCGCTGAGAGTCTTCAGTATCGGAGGGCTTGAATCGAAATTTTCGGGCGTACTGATCACCATTCCTTGCTTCGCCACAAAGCGAGCATGGAAAGATGGGAACCCGAAATTTGGATGGAGGAGCAGGGTTCGGCTCTACGACCAGGGAGCCAGAAGTGATGCTGTTCAGTACCGTGCGGCGTGCCATCCATGAGAGACCGGGGGCGATATCCAGACGCAGTGTTGGCTCTA